GGCTTAACGAATGTCCTGTTCTGAGCCTGCCTTCCCTGAGAAGGTGAAAGACAAGTGCTTCTCAAGATAATTTATAAAGTTCTTACTCAAGGAATAAGTATGTTCTAAACATTCTGAGGTTGGGGAAGTAACAAAAACAAGAAAATGTTGCTAAATTACTTAGTCTTCTGGGTTTTTTTTAATTCTGAGGAATATATGCCCATGTGTGTGGTGGGTATACGTGCCTCCCCACACATGCATAAGATAACGAATAATCACTAGTGGGGGCTTATGGGTAAAATTGCAGTATTTCCAGAATCTCTCACCTGGCCATATCAATAGGTGTTTCCAAGGGGTAGAGAGAAGTAGTCCATCTCCATATCAGTAGGTAATTACAAGGGCGAGCAAGGGCTTATCTGGACCAGTGAGGTTGGGAGGGACCTCTTCTTCTGCAGCCGGATCTTGAGAGAAACGCGGGATGACTGCTTGTAAGGAATAAATGGGTTTCTCCCACTTTATTTCTCCCTTTGACTGATTTTGGTTTTAAAGGTATTTTGCCCCGGGGTTTTTCCCCTGGAGTTACAGGGCTTAAGTAAGCAAGGAGGGCATCAGACTGTGGTAGTTCTAATGCCACGGTGGCCCACATAAGCAAACCAAATCGAAGCCTGCAAATGCCTCCAAGTTAAAAAACCAGAACCCAAGGACACCAGTCACAAACAGCCAGCTAGGCTTTCAGCTATGGCCTAGTCATAATTTCCTTGCTTTGTTCCTGCCTTTTCTCTGGAAAAGCCTGTCCCCAGCTCCTGTCAGGGGAGCGCTCTGAACCACCTCCAATCTGGTGCTGCTTGATTCGATCAGTGTTTGCTCAAACTCCTGACATTTTTAATATGCCTCAGTTTGTCTTTTAACAGAGTTTTGCACCAGCAAAAAATACTCAGTAATTTCATTGAAGCTCTATTTATCCTTCCCTTATGTTCATTTGTACCTGCCGGGGGTGTATACTAGGACCCTATCATGACATCTAAGACTGACATCCAAGCATATTTGTGAAGAACCCAACCTCTTGTAATTTTTTTGTGATTCTCAACCTAATTTAGTCAAACCACTTTAAACATCAAATTTGGGAGGAAAGATTTAAAAGCCATGAAGAGTAAATTTAAATTTTCTGACTGAGAGCTCTTTCTGCTGCTAATACTTCCCCAGCATTTAAGCATATAATGAGAAAGGCTTGTGCAGGGCTTTGGGCCGCCCGTTTGCAGGGACTTGGGTTGCTAAAGGCACCATGGGGGATTGATGATTGATTGAAATTTGTTCTGCCTGCTGTGGAACTTCCATAAACTAGCTTTCTGGACAAATGCCCTCTTGTTTACTATGTGTCTCTTTTCTGAGCTTTTAAGTAGAGGCTAAAGATCCCATTTAGTGACTACTAGTAGCTTTAAGTAGTGTGAATTATACTGGAGAAGTAGTGAGTGGTCACTGCATTCATGCCCTGTTCTTTGGTGTCCCTGCCAGAGACAGTAAAGAGCATGTGGTCTTACCTGTAACATCAATATTATCAGTCATCCTGATTTATGATTTTAAAAATATGCTGTCTTGGAATCACATTAATTAGGGCATACTCTTTGAGGTGGTTTTCCCTAATGATGATGAATTTGTGCTGATCCAAGCACTCTGTCGGAGTCCTTTGTGTGCCCAAGAACTTAGATGTGCAAGACAAATGGCTGGTTCAGGGGCAGTCTGTGCAGAAATGAGAGAGGTCAGCTGGGCTATAGACGTACTTGTGAGAGTATTTTTTTTAAACCTAAGCTGAGTAACACAGTTTCAGGATTTTTTTTTTTTATTTTGGTCTGGTGGGGGGTCATTTGTTGTTAATATGTGGGTGGGTAATAAAATGTAAGTAAAGTTAACTACATTTACTTTGCTTTTAATGGACCTATTGAAAAGAATACAATTACGTGAAATTGAGGATGACCCAGAAAATGTAAGGCATATCTCTTTGAGTTCTGACTTCTTTCTGCAATCCAGATATGTCTTTCAGCTCCATCTTGGTGACTTTGGGCATCTCAAAGTCAGCACATCCACAAGCAAATCGCTTACTTCCTTTCTCAGACCTCCACCTGCACCTCTCGGTCTTTGATGTACTTCCCAAGCTTGGGGTCATCCTGGTCTCCCTTCTGCTCCCTCATAGCAAGTCAGCCACCATCCTGTCAACTCACTCTGTCAAATGACCCTTTGTTCCCTCTTAATTCAAGGCTTCATCATTTTTCCAGTGTTCTGTCTTAGTTCAAGCCTTCACCATTTCTCCCAACCAAGTCCTACTCCATGTGCCTTCTCTGACCTACAGTATAAGCTCACAGTCCCATTCAGCATGCACAGTCCTACTGATTCACTCACACATCATGTTAGCCCCATTCCCACCAGCTACTTTCACACAAAGTCCTGTTGCAACTCCATGCAGCCTTTGACTGGGTTGCCTCTGCCTTTTATGTGGAGCAAGCATTGATTCATTATTTAAGACCTGGCAAAAATGCTACCTTCTTTGGAGGTGACTCTGCCTTCTGAGTTCGTTACTATGTCCCCACAGCTGTCACCCATGCCCCTCTTGCATAGGATCACTAGCTGCTTGTCTTTCTCCCTAGAGACTGTGATCTCATCAAGGACAAGGACTGTCTTAATCATGAATTTCTAGCAGTTAGTAAAGTACCTGCTAACTTGTAAAATCTCAGATGTTTACTGAATGAATGAGTGAATGAATTGAATTTATGCCCTGGGATATGGCAATAGCATGTTCTAAAATAACTGAGGCACTTCACCTCAAACAGGGAATATCCGCAGTAGAACATGGCTTGAGTAAAATTAGGGGATCTATTTTTATCAGTAAACCTGTGCATTATTAGGCTGTTGGGTCTTTTTTCTAACTGCTTTCCCTTCACCCCTCACTCCTTCACTCCTACTGTTCTTTCTTACCTTCCCCCAACTCAACACACACATAGATGAACACAATTTTTTCTTTAGTGTATCACCTTTATTAGCAGCCTTCCCTGATTGATGGACCAAGTGTGACTATCCATCCAGATATACAGCCTCAGCCCTGACGGTCCTTTCCCCTTGGTCCTGGTGTCAGGACACCATAATTCTTACTCTTCTAAACAATGCCATTCAAATAGTCTGCTATTACAAGCAATTGGCCTGTTGCTCTTTAACAATCCCACGACCACTACCTGTGCCAGACAATCTTGTCTGACAAAGATTCCACCATGTATTTGGTCTGCCTGCTCCGTACAAAGGCAGCCTGAAGTCCCCAGGGACCCCAGCCTGCATGCAGACAAACAACAGGAAGCCCAGGCACCAGGCTGAGGAGTTGTCTATGAGCCATGCTGTGGTGCCACCAGGCAGAGCCCTGGGGGCTGGTGGTAGGTGGCAGTCAGCACTTGGAGCAGCTCAGCTGACTAGCCTGGTAGTGTTACTTCCTCCAGGTGCAGTGGGTGGGGAGCTGCATGCACTCAAGAAGAGCAGGAGCTAAACGGAAGGCAAATCCTCCTAAAACTGAGTGCAGTAGATTCCTCCTGGGACGTGGTGGCCAAGGGTGATAAACAGGGAATTTGGAGCTGAGATTCTCTTGAGGTAGAAAACAGTAAACATGAAAGCCCCTGTGAAAATCACCCATAGATTAGGAAGTCGTTGCTTATTAGCATTATAAAATATTTACAATGTGATAAGTGAAAGGGATATGCCTTCTTCCTCTGCTCTCTAGACCTGTCTATTTTGTGTGCTTATTTTTAGAATTGTGACACCAGATGGAGTTCTATTACTCTTTGTCATTCTTTAGACACCTGGAAGATTTGGAAGAGCTCTGATGTCCTTTTTTATAATAGAGCCTTGGGAATCACTTAAGAAAGATTTATGTTAAGATAGTATTAGCATCTATAAGAGCTATTTTAACTAAATATTAAACTTTCTAACTAAATATTTACAAGCTCAGGTTTAATCATATAGTTAATTCAGTGCTATACTTTCCTCAATCCCATGTTCACTAGATCAATAACTGTTTAAGCAAGACGAAATCTGCACTGATTAATCCCACCCTTAACACCAACCGTAAGAGCCCATACCTTTCTCTGAATAGCTTGGTTCACAACCCCTCGACATTTATCATTCCAGCAGCGCTGTGCCTGGAAGCCACAGAAGTGTTAAGTGACATTGAAGTGATTGAGTTAGAACTTCAAGGGGTTTGGAAGTCTTATGAAAGTGAAAATGGAATAATGGAGAATGGACTGTTGTCATGATGAGCCATGGAGGGCACCATATTGTGCTGGCATAGACCTGCATGCCAGAACCACTGTTTGGGTGAGACCTGGTCTGTCTTGAAGTGGAGGCAATGGCCTCCGTTCCCCCCAGAGGGCTGGAGGGCTGGCTGCCGTGGGTACAATGGGTGGAGGAAAAGGAGCCAAGGAGTAAAAATGACCCTTGAGATTGAGGGGTGATATGACACAACTACTCATTGCCCCAGCTTGGAACTTGGACATGGTAATGTCTTCCCAGGGCTGCAATTGAGTCCTCGCGATGGAGACCAAGAGAGAAAAAGATGTATGTTTGGCTCTTCATCATTCAGCCACTGCAACCCAGCTTTACTTGTTAGCCCCAAACCCAGGCATTACCTTGTCTGTGTATCTGTATCTGTAGACCAATACCAGTGCCTGTGTATCTGTAGATCTAGGTGTATAGACATCACAAGTCACATTTTTAAGTAAGAGCTGAAGAATACTTGGAAGGAGATACCCACAAACGTTTCCCAGTCATATTTAGAATTTGGTTTAACCTAAAGTTATGGAGACAGACTTGAAGGGAGACATCCCCAACCTTGCTAAAATGTAAGTACAAAAAGGCACAAATTGGATGGATATTGATGATGTTATTTCTACTGTGACATCATCCATAGACTCCTAGTGTCTTTGCTTTGCTTCCCTATAGTGATCACAACATAAATTACTTGTCTTGTTTGACTTCCTTGTTCACCAAAGTTGAGCAGATTGTGGCCGTTTTCAACGCTTCTACCAGACAAAAAGCTTGGGACCATTTCTCGAAAGCTCAGCGCAAGAACATAGACATTTGGCGAAAGCATTCTGAGGTTGGTGATTTTATTATTACTTTTTAACCACCATCACACAGCTGGACTGGCAGAGAGTAATGTGCCTGCAGCCCTTACAGTTTATGTCACACTGGCAGTTGCACCGCCCTTGCCCTATCTCCCTGTCAGCTCCAAATCCAGCTCAGATTTGTTCCTATCCAGAAAAGCAGCTGACTTAATACTTAGAGGACAGAGTGCTTTTCTCCCCTGCAAAGGGAGAAAAGAATTCTTCCATTTATAGTGAAGAGATCGGAAATAAACCAAGACACTTTGCCTGACTATTTTGAAGAGAAGTATAACATAAAATAGAAGACCCATTTTTAAACGAACTCAGAGGTCTATTTCAGTGTTCTGAAACACGTGATGGTGACGGTTTGCTCTCTGGGCTAGACGTGGCAAGTATGCCTTCCATCCTTTCTTCTCATCATAAACAATATTTCAGACCCTTTGCTAGCCAGAAGGTTATATCCCACCTCTCCCCAGAGCAAATTTCCTCAGGGGAATGAATGTGCAGGCTAGCCAAGTCCACCTTTCTGCATCAATGCATGTATGAAGTGTGAGTATCTACCCTAAACACAGTCCATACCTTGACCTTCCTTGCCATCTAGAAGGACCAGAATGTGTCCATAGTCATTGGTCGTCCAGCTCTTGTTTTTAATTCAACAGTGTAGTGTACGCTTTGAACCTGTAACTTAAAAGTAAGTATACTGTCTTTGCTTGCTTTTTCTTTTTTTTTTTTTAATGAGAGAATGTTTTTTATTTGGATGCCTCTCCATCTCTAGCATGTTAATACTGAAGTTCTCTAAACGATATTCCCCTCTTTCAAAATCCCAAACTCATAGAAGGTAAGGTTTACTTATTTAATGATTTTTGGCTCACACTTGTAAAATAGTGTTTTATACAGACTTTGAGGAATGACGAAGTACTGTGATATCAATCATTTGGGTAGCATTTTAAGTGCCCATTAACTAATGCTAAATTACAGTTGAATACCAATGATACTAGATGTAACATCCACATGAATACCAAATGAATTCTTTATTATCACTGTTATTATGGTGAATACTGAATGACTTCACAATAATGGGACACTTAAAATGCTAGTGCAATTTATTGTTAAGAAGGACATTTTTTATTTTGTTCACAAATGCCTAAGAAGGTGGTTGGTGACTGATGCAGTTCTGTTCCTCTGTTCAGGACTGAGTAAGGAGGAGGTGGGATCTCTATAATTTCTCAAGGGCCAGAAAAACAAAGGGTGCTTATCTGATGATCTTCCAGACACTGAATTGAGACCCAAGATGATTTTCAGGAGGGAGGAAAGAGTCCTCATTTGTGAGGAAACATACAAATTGAGGTTTATAAAAACGCAAATTAGAATCCATAAACTACGATTCAGATTTGGGAATGATCTGTGAATTGTTTATATGTTTTTCCTTTGCATAAAGCCCAAAAATGATACAAAGAAATGTCAAGAAAAAGGCAAGTGGAATGCTGCTGAATAATATGGGCATAAAAAGGCTGTCAGTCATATGTGAGTGTCAGCAAATATCAGTTACTGATCTAAATCCCACCTCCCACCATGTCCGATCCCCTTCCCTCCCCCACCTCCCCCGTGCTGGGGCTGTCCTCTCTGTTGCTGAGCAGGCCACACAACTGCTTCCAGCTTTGTTCCAAGGAAGCCTGCTTGCTTTTCTCTGTATATACGGGGAGGTAGAAACGGATGCAGTCCTGCAAGGTGCTCTGTAACGGGTCTTTGTGCCTCCCTGATACCCCCACCACCTCTTTTGATATACTAGGAAATAGAATTCTAAATTATCTTTGATTTTCACTCCTACATGTTGCTTAATTGATTAAATACCAGTCGGTAATTTAACATTGTGGATGATTTCTCAGTTGCGTTTAAGCTTGATAATTGGCTTGATTTTTCCGCATTCCCATGTACAGCATCTGTTAATTATCTGCAACACCTTTACAGATTTATTAGAGTGTGCTAGTGATTTACTGCTGAACCAGAGGCACCCTGTGGAAACACCCTGAGCTTTTTTTTTCCCCTCCAATTTTGCCTTTCCAACACCCTTCCCCACAAAAATGGCTACAGTATGACAGTTTGTCGTTAATTGTAGGGACTAAACAACAGGCCCTTTCAGCTTCATTTATTCTTTCCACCGGACTTTTGCTTGTTGCAAGTATTTTCAAGCCACTTGCTTGGGAACTGGGCTTTTTGTCAGTAGAAAAATTAGCTGTTCACAACCTGAAAACTTCCCCACTAATCACATGTGACATCCACTTCCAAGACCCAGTGGTGTTGAGGAAGAATTGGCAACTCTTCCTAGTGGATGGCATGGTCGAGTGAGGAAGCATTGCCCATCCTCCTGGTGACCTCTCAAGGCTGTCCTGTGGTGGGTGTCCCTGTGCCAGGGACCTTGCCTCCCTGCCTCCCTCTTCCCCTGTCCCCTGCACTGGTGATTCCCAGGGTTCAGAGTTGATATGCCAGCAATAAATAATTTCCTCTCCATCATGCTACAGGAAAGCAAAGGAGAAAATTGAGAGAAACTCCAATACAGAATAATATGTCATGCACATCCATTGAATGGGCACTAGACCTATGTTTAAAGCCATACCATTAATATATTAGGGGTTGTAATTTAGTATTGTTACTCATAGATTTATTTATTATAAAGTGAAATTATTTTAACTATTTGACTTGTACTCATAAACTTCAATTCAAGCAAGGGAAAAAAAGAATAATGCAGCCTTTCCCTGTTTTTTGTTCTGTTTTGTTTAAGGACATATAAGAGAACAGAATGGATAAGGATTCATAAATATATAATGTACAGCTTAATAAGAAATAATAATACCATTACCATAAATGATAATAGTGGCCTAATTTTTAGACACAGTAGTAAAAAATTTATTATGTAATTTTTTTACTTTTTACAGTGAGTTTTCACATACACTCGAAGTCATACAGCCTTGTATTACTACTATTCCCCATTTATGGGTAAATAGACTAAGGCTCAAAGAAATTAAATGCTTCTTTGCAGTCACTCCTCCAGGAAGTGGAGAAAGTAAGATATGATCCTAAGCTCCTAAAATGATGCTAAAACAACAATCCTAAAATGACGGCTAAAACATTTTGATGTTTTCACAACAAAAACAAACCCTACATGATAATGTGAAATACCAAAAAAGAAGGTATTTGTTTTTGTTTTGTACTCCATTTTTTGAATTTTACCATTTGGGTATCTGAATGGGGTGTGTGTGTGTGATCACACACAGGCACATACACACATGCAGGAGCATATTTGGCCTGAAGAATAACAGGGGTCAACATTATCAACTTAGTGAACCCAGGGCCTTAGCATGATGCTCACTCTTACATGCATTAACTTATTTTATTCTTAAAACTATTATCACAATATTTCAGTGAGTAAGCGGAAGCTGAGAGAGATAAAGAAACATTCCTCAAGTTACACAATGGGTCAGTGGTAGACCGGAACTTTAAAAAATTCTGCTGCTCTTGTTCCTGGTGATTAGTTAAGCATCCCTCCTGTGTGCCCTTCGAGGTAATAGGTGTATCTGGGCAATCCTCACAGCAGTCTTACGAGCTGAATGTTTTTATCCCCCTTCTCACAAATGAGAAGTGAGACTCAAGAGATGAAATAATTTGCTCCCAGTCATCCAGGAGCTAGGATTTCCCCTGGGTCTGACACCAAGCCCCTCCCGTCTTCCCACTGCCCCGTCCCCTCAGAGCCTCACGGTCGAGTAGGCGGGGCGATGTCTGGGAGGTACAGCCTTTGGGTTCTAGGCATTCGTATGTCAGTCATAGTATGCCAGAAGACACTGGGAAGGGTATGCTGATGCGTCTGCTCTATTTCCAGGAGCTCCGGAATGCTCAGAGTGAGCAACTCATGGGCATCCGCCGCGAGGAAGAGATGGAAATGTCAGATGATGAGAACTGTGACAGCCCCACCAAAAAAATGAGAGTCGATGAATCAGGTAATGCTGATCACTGCCACGTACGGTGAAGTGTATAATGATCTTCCAAGCCTTAGATGGGGCATCTGTATCGAGAAATGGCCACATAACTCACTTTTGAGTTATACTAAGCTTTCATCTTGAGTGACTGCCTTTTATTAATAGAACTTGAAACTCCTTCTTAGGAAGATAGTGGTTTAAATTGCTCCAATTGTTTCTCTATACAGAGGTCTGGGGCCATTATATTTTCTTTAGGGATATTTGCCTGTTCCCATAAAAATCCTTTTCCAGAGTATAGCAGCCACTGCTGATGCTGAAATACAGATAAAATTTGGCCTCAGTCCATGTACTTCTTACATGGGAACTGTTTAATCTTTAAAGAAGCTTTCTAGCTTCTAAGCCAATGTGTTGAAGAATTCATCTCATTTCCAGTAAACTTTACCTAACATGTAATCAAAGGGGTGATCCCATTTGGTACCAAGAAAGGGTATCACTCCTTGAGTTGTAAAAAGTAGAGAAATTTAGAGAGAACCTTGCTTTATGTGCTCTGCCTACCCTGGAATGCTGATTTAAAACTGTCTCCTGAATTATACATAAATCCCTTCATATTATAAAAACAGACAAGGGAAATACTCAAATAAAGGAGACAGCAAGGGGGGCTCTTTGGCCGAGGGGAAGAGAGTTGTTTAAAGGGCCTGGGAAGAACTACAGTTGTCACCATGACCAAAGAAGAAAATCAGAGGAGTGGAATCGATGTGACCTGTCTCCTCATACATGCCAGGGAATGAACACTCGACTGTCTCAGGCTATTTGACAGAAAGAATAAGGAGGCCAGGAAAGAAAATCTTTGCTCAGTAACTTGTTTGCAGAGGCCAAAATCAAGACTCCAAAATGGTAAGGTCATCAAGATTACAAAGTGGTTAGAATGCTCTGCTTTCTCCAGGGCTTAAAGGAACCCTGGAGGTGTAAATGATGATGGTGAGAAAATGCCCCTGCTTCCAGGCACGGACAAGAGGGAAGTTAATTTCCTTAGACAAGTGGTTCTTAAAAGTGTGGTCCACAGTCCAGTGATACAGCATCGCTTAGGAACTTACTAGAAATGTAAATGCTTTACATTTAAAGACCATTCAATACCTAATAACCAAAGACTCCAGGGAAGGCAGGGGTGAGGAAATGAGATCCAGCAATCTGTGCTCTAAGTCCTTCAGGGAATTCTGATGAGTGCTAAAATTTGAGAACCATTGCCTTAGACCATTTCCCTTTCATCCTCACTTTCCATTCATTTAAATCAGAAGCTTAGCATAAAAGAAGGCACCCTGCCACTATTTTTTGAAGCCATATATCCTTTGTCTAAAAACTGAACCTAGCATTTATGTGCCAACATATGTCTCTTATTGAGTGGATATCAGATTTCTCGGGACTGCTTGATTACTGGGTTTGGATTTGCTTATTTGAGGACAGCATTTCTATTCTGCAAACCTTCAAAAGAAAAGAGTGAGTTTTGGTGTGATTTTCTTAAATTCAATGAGCTTTCCAATAAATAAGTTAAAAAAATTCTCAAAAGCTTTCATCATTTTAGAAGTTTCTAGATGAGGGGCAAGTTTATAGAAAACTTGGATCCTTAACATCCCTATAAGGTAGGTGCAGAAGAAAAGAATCTGAGTCAATCAGAAATTCTGATTTGAACCTGTGGCTATTTTTATATTTTTGGTGACATTTCTTTTTAAACAACCTGTCAATTTCCCAAGTAAGAAATATGTATAATTTCATAGCCTGCTTAGGATAGGACCAGAATAATAATGACAAAGAGCAATAAGCTCACCAAGGAGAATGCAAAAATCACAGCAACTTGCAAAAGCCTGCAGGGTTGGCCCTAGTCTCTGCTGTGGAAGAATCCAGAGGTGCCAAGGACCCCTTTCTGTGACAGGGACCACAAGGTCCTCTCTGAAAGGTTAACTGAAGGTCCTTCTTCCTAGACTTTTCTTTTCTTTCCCTTTTTTTTTGTTTCTTTTCAGGCATCTGATAAAAGCCTGAAGTAGGACCTAAACTTTTAGGAACTTTTTCCAGGCTTGGTACTTGGTCAGCAGAATTAATGAACACAACACAGTGCGTGTTCTACACCCAGTGCTGAGGGAAGAGATGAAAAGAACTGGAGTTCAAATGCCAGGCCCCGAGGAGTTCAAAGTCTGTTTCATGCTTTATGAAATGAGATAGACCAGAGAGCCAGGCACGCTTTATGAGGAAAGGGCCAGGTTGATTAGAGAGAGGAGAAAGCACCTAACATTTTCTATTCCGCTGGGCCCTACAGATCCTGCTAAAAGGTGGGCAGCTGTTTTTCTTTCAGCCTGAATATTTGGGGACACAGCCTGCCAGCAAGAATTCCCATCTGGTCGCTTGACCAGGCCTCAAACAGATCCCTGCACACTGCTATGCGAAAAGGGACTGGAGGCCCTGCAGCCTGAGGGGAGCACACCTTCCAGTGATGTCTCCTTAGGTGACACTTCGCTCATTTCGGGAACAAATTTGCATCCATCAGTCACCTCCCAGCAGGACTTGCAAAACACAGCGCTCTACTTCACTAACAGGGGACTTGCCAAATGCTGAAATCGAAGTAAAATTCTCTCTCTTTTAAAGAATCTTCTGTCCTTTTCCTTCCTGCTGAAACTTTGCCTCAGTGCTCCCAGCCAGTAGCTGCCCCAGGAATCTTGGAAATTCCAACATAGAATATCTTTCCAGAGCCTCCTGCCCATGTGAGGATGTGGAGGGGCCGCACCTGCGCCGGAGGCTTGAGTTGGGCCCACCGGCGTTGGCTTCGCTCTACCTGTCCTCCTAGAACAGGTTTTATTTCTGAGGGTATCTGGAGACAGTTGACTTTGGTTTCTAGAAAAGGCACAATTTATTATGTGAGGACTTGTATGATGCCTTGGGTGTTTTTATAAATCCAAGTTTTTCAGTCTATCTCTGCTTCTCTAGTTATGAAGGATATTTCATTGTACTTGTGCTTTTCACCTCATACAGTAATTTACAATGCGTCTTTGGCTAGAGTTCCCCAGTACTGCTGTGAGTAACTACAGTGTAAGGCTGGGCAGGCGGCTCCCTCTTCCTCATCAGCTGAATCTTAAAGCGGAAGAGGAGTTTGCTGGAGCAAAACTAAGATGCTCATAAAAATGAAAATGAGTTTTGTTAATAAATTTGAAAATCAAGGCAGATTTATTGAAGCATTCATTCAAGAAAATTGGCATCCTGCTCCAAAGCCTGTGAAGATAACTTTTGATAAAAATCCAAATTTTCTGTTGCCTCGTCTGCCTCCTACTGGAATCAAGCCAAACTCTGAAAGCCAGATCAATTCTTCCTTCCCTGTCCCTTCTCCACCCTGTCCTGTCGCTGTCCTGCCCTTTGCTCCTGTCTTCCCCCTCCCTCCAGGTTGGCAGAGCACACCAGGAAGATGGGGAAGAAAAGAGGAAGTCTGTCCTAGCCTGTAAGGCCTCGCCTGGCAGCACCTGATTAGTTTTAGTGTTGTGAGAGGTAAATGAGTCAATGCACACAAAGCACTTCCAACTGTTCTCAGTTCAGAGCTTGTAACAAGTACTCAGTCACCGTTGACTCTGCTTATTGTCTTAGTCATACTTCAGCACCTGGCCCTGGGCCTTTTGCCAAGTAAGTGCTCAGGGAAAGTTCGTTGACTTCAGCTGCAAATTCCCATTCCTCTGGTCTTTGTTTCTGATCCTTTGTCCTATAAGTTAATAGGAAGGTGGTAACCCAAAGAATATTTGCTGTAATTAAATTTAAATGGCAAGCATGAAGAAGCATGTTCAAAAAGGATGGCTTATTTCTCCAAAATGTTCAGAACTTTTGTATATACAAAATTCAGGGCCGCATGCTGAATGGGCTATGGCCCAGAGATTTGAAATTCAGCATCAACAAACATTGGCAATCACTTTCATGTGGGCCAGGCATGTGGATCCGGGGGATATAGATGGTTCGACAGTCTACCCAGCCCTCAAGGGTAGGAGACATTTTTTGAAGAAGATAATTGAACATTTTAAGTTAATAAAAGTAGAGTGCCTAATGCCAAATATATTCTAAAGCTATTAGTTCAAGTCCAATATAAACAGAAAGAACATCCCTATCCAGTGTATGTACCTCATCCAATATTTAGTGAGTATACATTGTACATTGGACACAGATTTTAGAAGAGTTGAAATAAAACATTCCTTGCTTAATAGACCACCCTTAAACCATTCCATAGTGCACAAATGTCCGTGGATTTTAATTACACCTCATTTAAACTCTGAACTCTTTATATGAGCAAACACTCTCTTAATTATGAAGAGTGTTTTTTGGGTTGTCAGTTTTTCATGGAAACTCACCACAACATAGGTGTGGAGTTTCTTTTTAATTTCAATAAAAACTCAACAAGGAATTTCCAGATCTTTCAGTCAACTGAGTCAAATTAGGGACTTATAATTAAGTTGAGGTGGAATTAGCAGTATACAGGCTGAACAGTTTCACACGTGCTTTAGGTTAAAAAATTTAGTAATAGGGCTCTCTCTGGCTATCTCCTTGATCTCTTTGAACATCAGGACTGCCTTTGTTTTTCTGATCTAGTTGATTTCCTGTAAGGGAGTTGCTTCTGACAGACAGAAAGTATGCCTAACATATCACAATCAGCCAGAGACTAAGAAGTGACTGCCCTCTGTTCCCACACCAGCCTGGCACAGGAGGGAGTGATTGGGTGCCAGACAAGGGTCCTGCAGCCTCTGCTGGGGAACCAACTGAAGGGATGTGTTTCTCACAGCTGGTGGAAGCCTCCTTTTAGGAAACAGTGAGTGTGATCTCCGTAGGCTTACCCTGGAGTTGCCCGGGACTCGGCAGGGGAACAAGAGCATTCAGACATAGAAAGTGAGATGGCGCAGTCCGAGGCCGCGTGCCAGGAGCTGAGCCCCCCACCAGCGGACGCCCGAGACAGGAGCATCAGCAGCAAGAAGAGGCATAGAAGGATAAGCTTTTGGTAGACTTCT